TTGGCCTGTATCTGATCATAGCCGCGGCCACATTCGTGGCCGTGGCTTTTCCCTTTTCCCTTTTATCTTCTTTTTCTCTTTTCTCCCCTGCCCTCTCCTAAAAACGGGGATGGCAGTTGTCAGATTGGGAGAGGTAGGGAAAGAACTCGTGAAAATTCACGAGTTCAAATCCCGACAGGCTCAGAGCGGGGTGCAAAAAGTACCCCGACTTTGAAGAATTTTAGAAAAATATTCGCTGGATAAAAAAATCTATAAAAATTCATACACATGGCCTAGGTGCCTGACTACCTACAGAAAAAAATTCAAGGTCAACAAAATTGTTTTGCGCCACCAAAAAAATAGTGGCGCAAACTGAAAAATACAGCTTGTCAAAAAAACTCAGATCCCATTTTTCGTTTTCTTTTTTTTTTCTTTTTCTTCTTTTCTTTTCTTTTCTTTCCTTTTCTTTTCTTTTTTCTTCTTACCCCCCCTAACAACGGGGAGGCAGCTGGCAGGTCGGGATGAACAGGTCCTCCTCTCCCCATCCTCCCATTTCTCTCTCTCTCTCACTCTCCACTCAACTCCAACCCCCTCTTGCTTTCCGTGTGTGAATTGTGGGCCGCGAGATTTCAAGATCTCGCGGCCACAATCATCTGTCCAAAACGAAGTGGGAGTCTTTGTGCTCCCACACAGTCTCCAAGACGAAGTGGGAGCCTTTGTGCTCCCACACAGAAAAGTGCTATTCCAAAATTTATACAAGGCTAAGTTCAGAATTTGAAGTAACTTTGACTTCTCAAGGTCCAATTTTGTCTAACTCCCTGAATTAGCAAAAATTTGGACARCACTCCCTTTAAAAAATGAGACTTTCCAGATTTTTACTAGGTCAGATATAAAGAAAAGAYAAGTTGAACTTTGACRAGTCAAAAATTGACTAACTCCTTGAATTCGTAGAAATTTCGGCAGCGCTTCCCGTAGAGAAAGTAGCTTGCCAAGATTTATACAAAGCCAAGTACARAAAAAATGAACCCAGAAAATGCAAGAATTGACCTAAGTAAAAAATAAGCTACCACARAAAATGCAGGAATTGAAACCAACTCCTATTGCTCTAACACGTGGCGAGCATCTAAAGCAACTACCCACCAAATTGAAAATCAGATCAAGTAGTCATCTCACTCAGCCACATGCAGGCCAAACCACGAAGGTAAGTACTCTCACCAGCCCCAAGTAAATCTGGACAAACAATAGTTCATAGTCTTTCAGTGATTTAACCCTTTATACCCAACTTACATAAGGCATAGGTCAGGCCACCTGCACTTACAGAGCGCGCCCAACTTAGCCAGGCCTAAAGTCAGAATACCTAAACTTATAGASCGTTYTGACTCAGCCAAGTATACACAAACAGAGGGCACAACTACTTTTCTCTTCCTTTGGGCATACGACTAAGCCATTCATCTTAGAAACAATGCTTAGTCGCCCTGAACTGTTTAATATCCAAGTTTTATATACTTCTCTGAACTTAGTTTTCAAGGTGGGCGTAGGGCTGAGCCATTCATCTTAGAAACAATGCTCAGCCGGCCCAAGTTACCTTCAGTTGTACTCTTRGTTGTACTCTCTTSAAATTACGATAAGCTATAGTCAGACCATCCAATCTTATGGAACCCGTGTCTGACTAGCCTGTTTTTAATAGGATAATAACAACATATAGCCAAATTATAACCTTGGGTYYCCGCATGTGCGAGGCTTTGAGYYAGACCCCCTGAACTTACAGAAGGATCTAACTCTCTGCCAGATTCATTTCTCTCTGAACCATCATGTGTGTGGCATCGAGTCAAACCCCCTGAACTTACAGAAGGGTCCGCCTCTTTGCCAAAGATTACTTTCTCAGAATAAAAGCAGGAAGAGACCGAGCCGCCTGAACTTACAGAACAGCTCGGCCCCCTCGTTCAGAAACAAAGAAACTTAAGAAAGCCCAGAAAAAACAAGGCAACTCAGGGTACGTAAACTTATAGAGCGCCCTGAGCTCCTGAAAATCAAACACAATCAACCCCTCACAAGTTAGAGCAGTCAGGTCACCTRAACTTATAGAGCGTCCTGACCCTCCATGCAATTCGAAAAAATAAAACACAGCGGTCAGGCCATCCAATCTTATGGAACATGCCTGACCCCATAAGACCCTTTCAATCTCAAGCAAAACCACCTTACTCCCCCCCTTTTCCCAGATGCAACCCCTTTTGTTCACAATCTGCGTTCAGGCAATCAATAAAACTAAAACTGCCATTACGCACACATTCCTTTATTTAGTCTGACTTGTGTCCTGAGAATCAAACCAAAGGTCAAAGTACAGGATTCCCGCAATACACTCAGTCAAACCATAGAAAGGTACACAGGTAGGGGTTATAACTGGGTTTATAGAAGGGGTCAGGGAATTACCACACAGTTCCCTGCCTCCAGGACTCCTCCTGAGTCCCGGCAGAGCTCCCGCAATCGGTGGGGCGAACCTCCCACAGAGGCTTTGGCGCGGGTTACGGGTTGCAACCCCGCCTGCCGCCTTCCTCTCGTAACAGGATCAGACTTAGAGTAAGAAGGGCAGAAATAGGGGTTTCAGACGCTCGAGATACAAGAGGGGGACAACGCAACTCTCAGGAGAGGGCCTTGTTGCCTTCAGTGCGTGAGGGCCCCGCAATGATGGCCAAGTAGCAGCAGCTTGGTCAAACTTCAGTCATACTGTCGACGTCAGCCCCCCCCCCTGATGACTTCTTCAACTCGCAGCGATGACACCCCTTTAGTCAACTCAATGATCTCGGCCCTTCTGCAAGCTTGCACCCTCACGGCAGTCTCACTGCTCCACCTTTCTGTCGCTCGTACCAATGAGGTAAGGTGTATGCCCTGCAACTTGCTCCCCGCTGCCGCGTTCCATCGGGATGAACCACGTACCAACCACAACATCCGCCTCACCAGGTCAGGGCCGATAAGTCGTGCGGACTGCAGCAACAACAATCTAGCTGGTTGCGGCCTCGCCTACACCTACGACAACCCGATTGCAGTCAGGAATCAGCGATAGTGGCCGAAGTACTCGCAACCACTGAGTGCACAGGCCACTGCCATATCCAGGCACCTGTTTCCATAATCGAAGTTCATGCGGAAACTCGGAACCAGAGGGACTGCACCCTCACTACGGCTCTCCGTAGTAGCCCAATCAGTTATCGGTCAACATCCACAACAAAAGGGCACAGGTAGATCACCCCTCCTGTACCGGGTGCCTAGGAGCCGTTAGTCAGCCTCCTGCGCAGTCCGCAATATGCAGCCCCGCGGCCAAGACTCCAGGGCACAGGTCATTGCCCCTCATGCAGTCTACGGTCTCCTTGGCCGGTCCGCTGTTTCCTCTGTTCAATTGGCGCAAACGCCCCCCCCCCCAGCTTGCAGGTAAGTTGCTCCTCCTCTCTCTCTCTCTCTCTCTCCCTCTCTCACGAGCAGCCTTCCCAAACCACCTTGTCGAACCAGCCACTAACTGTGAAATCCGATCTTACGGTCGGATTTACCTACCATCCAAACCCCCACCCAACCTTCTTTCCTGCCCGGATCCATTCGGAAAGTCGAAGGTTCTGCGTTTTGCAACTCGCTACTCCCTCTTCCCGCCAGCTCTTGCGCAGCCTCTTCTTTTCCTAACTCTAATTCTACTAACCCTCCCCCTAATCTGACCCCACCACGCAACTCGCACGGGCAAAGAAGCACCGGATCGTCCCCTCCTTTGCCCAACCTCGTAGAGGGACGAGCGCAGTAGAGTGTTCCCCCTTCTTATTCTTCACCACCTTGCCATCGCATTTTCCCGCCATGCCCTCCGCGCAGCCCATTTCTCGCACTACTTATTTTTTATTAATCTAGAACTAAACTAACGCTACTGCTAGCTTCGCCCGACCCCAAAACCTCAGTCTAACCTTTTACATTGCACAAATCGGTCAAAAAATGACCGAGATACTGCAGCTTCACCCTCTTCCCTCTCGCCCCCTCCATAACTCCGCGCGGCCATTCTCTATCCAACCGCTGAGTCTAGCCTTCCAACGCAACAACGGACTTCACCATGGGATTCGCCATGGTTGATAACCCCCAGAACCATCTCCCACTTACCCAAAGCCACCCTCAATCACATGCGCTCACGCCTCCCTGCTGCGCTCGGGCTCGCTATCCGCCATCTCCGTTTCCCTCTGTCGAGCGTACCCGGCGCGAGTTTGCGCCCGGGTCCATCCTTCCCACCCTTTGCCTCCAACGTTCCCCGTTTCCCAGCGCCTTAGCGCACTACGGTCCACTACTCCGACATCCCTCGTTCCCAATCGTGCACGCTCCTGCCACGGTTAGCCGGTCAGGTTCATCCCTCCTCCCACACTCTCGACACTCTTCCTATCCATCGGACTTACTTCCGCCAGCACTCACCCTCAGCAGCATCCTCCCCTACCTTCCATCATTGCGCCTGACTCATCCTGCCACCACCTCCTTTACTGAACGTACCTGGCCCGGTAACCCCGCCGGATTCAGTCCGCCCCTTCTTGCCGACCCTTTTCCCAGCGCCTGTGCTGGTCACTCCGCCGTACCACCCAGCTCAAACGCCAGTCACGGCCCTGCCGCCTATGTCTGTCCGCAACCTACCCCAGGCCCAGTCGGGTTTTCTCCTTCTCTCCGTGGCTTTCCTAGTGCCAGCGCCCCGACAACGTAGAGGCCTGCCCGTCGCTCCGCCAGCGCCAGCCGTTCGGTGTCGCGGAGCGCTACCCGGTCAGCCCCTCTACCTTAGATCTCCGGCCAACTGCCGCTCGGCACTGCGTCGCCCTTTCGGTTCCCCAGCGGGCAACCCCCACACAGGCCGCCCTACATTTGGGGGCGCGGGCCTACTGCAGGCCCAAAACGCGGTTCCATACGGTCCGCAACATGCCGTAGCACCGCGGTGGGCCTTGCCACAGTGCCCCGGGCATGGTCCGCCAGCTCGCGGGCCCAACGACCTGCTTACACTCAAACCTCCCACAGCAATCCGCGGACGATGCCGCCGCTGCGGGAGTGCCCACGCCATTCAGTTTTCCTCCGCCTCGCGGGCTAATCCCCCGCCGCCTCGCACGTACGCTGAGCTCCTCGGCCCATGTTTTCGAAACGGGCTGGACAGAAAATTTCGTCAACATCTTGCCATGCGGGACCTATAGGTCTTAAACAAAAGGAGGCGAGTGCTCAAGGTCCCCGACTATCGTGATGACCACTGAGCCTGGCGTCACGTCCGGACCACGCCACATGTCGGAGCTTACAGGATTTTTGTACCACCATTAGTTAATATAAAATACCAATAACGTCGTGCGTCCCGCTGGCCCGCGACGCCGCGCACGTCCAAGCAGCGCACAGTGGCTCCTCACCGTTAATACCCCATGCCGCCACGCGCGCCTCTCACCCTGACAAAGCCTATGCTTCCACTCACGCGCACGCCGTCAGGCGAGCGACACTGCTCTTGCGTGACCTGCAAAAACCACGCCAAATACCCTTGTAAGGGTATTTGGTACGACACCGCGACAGCATCCTCTACTGCATCCTCGTCTGGGACCCTGTTGGGAATGCCCTCGGTGCCCACGGGTACTTCCGGATCAGTAGGTTCTAGTCAGTCCACAAGTCAAATGGCGAGCTCGCAGTTCAGTCCGTTGACCCCACGCGGCAGAGAGCTATGAGAGCTCCAACAAGTCGAGAGGATCCGCGCTTGGTTAGAGAGGGAATTGAAGCAAGCTACCGACAGAGAAAATGAGATAAAAAATAGAACAGCTAGGCTTGATACGTTAGAGGCAGACAAAGCTGCATTAGAGGGTTTGGACGAGTCAGCCATGTCTGACCAAATGAAAGTGTTGAAGGCCAGCGTATTGTCGCTGCATGTGCACGTGGACAATAGGGTGGATTTCATGCAGAACTCCTTGGACCAAATCTTGGACCTTTTGCAAAGGCCAGGATTAAGGCCAGCAGCATAGTCGCCGTTGCCGTTAACGACGATGTCAGGCCCCTTTCCAGTACAAGCTGGCACACAGCCAAGTGGTACGTCTGCAGCAGCTGCATGGACTGTTGCTTCTTCTTCTTCTCGTCCAGCGGTGATAGCTACACAATCACCGCAACAAACTGTTCCACCGCAGGGACAGTAGTAAGGTCAATGGTACCCAATGAAACCACCCCTTGCCTTCTCCGGTGAGAAGAAGGACGAGGAACTCAACACATGGTTGAGAACAGTTCCAATGTGGGTAAGGGCAAAGAGGACGTTGCAGGAGGAGGAGGTGATTACTGCTGCATCTTACCTTGAGGGTAAGGCAGCCAAATGGCTGGATGGGATAGTAGCGAAGGCCGGGCTCGGACGACGCATGGCAGACTGGGGTAGGACCCTCACTTTAGAAGAGTTCTTAGATATGGTAGAAGCTCGTTGGCATAATTTGCAGCAGGCACAAATTGCCACTGACGCGATGTTGAGACTGGACCAGCGAAAGTACAAGTCAATCAGAAAGCTAACGTCTACCGTAGAGAACCTCATCGTCGTTCCCGGTATACGCTACGATGACCAGGTCTTATTGACCATGTTTCTGAGATGTCTACCCGAGAATCTCATGACCTTACTGGCCAGCGAGGCTCGCCTCGAGTATCATTCCTTTGAGACCTTATCTAGAAAGGCCTTAGATTTGGAGGCTACTCTAGGAAGTGCTCATCCTACTCCAATAGACGGGAGGAAGAAGAAGAGTCCACAAGAATGGAAGAAGAAGGGTAGTAGATTGATGATGGTTGAGTCCGATGGGACCCAAACTGAAATCGAAGAACTTACCGACCTGATGGACGGTTCAGAGTACGACGGCGAGGAAGTCGCTAAGGGTAGCACCCTCGCCGCAGTAGTAAAGACTAAGGCAGGTGGCCGAGGTAAGGGCCATCAAAAGAGTCAAGGGCAGACTGCCTCCAATCCGTCCAAAGTAGCAGATTAGGTCAAGGCAGGTCTTGATCTGGAAGTGTGGTGGGACCGCCGAGTGCATGGTGCTTGCATTAATTGTGGTGAATACGGACACACCCAGTACAAGTGCAAGAACGCAAAGGTCACGCAGAAGATACCCCCTAAGGGAGGGGTACCTTCTTCCCTAAGGGAGGGGTATCTACTTCCCAGGCTTCCAGCTCAGGAAACATGTGAGGCCAGTGGAAGTTTTAGCTGCTTCTACTCATGGTGAAGTGGGTCAGATACCCTCCCCACTTCATGAGAAGGCCATAGCTAATGACTCTTTAGTCACCCTGCAGACTCATCTAGACCAAACTATGCTYTGTACGTKGGATGKGTCTGAAGCCTTAGAAKATTTRGAAAGTGAGTGGTCAAGCAAGGACCCTCGCGAATCTTGGGTGGCACTAAGTAGAGGTCCTAGAGGGGAACATTTCGTTGTGGAAGTTGCTGTAGGAGGCCGCAAATGTGGTGCCTTCGTAGACATCGGCTCCACGCGAAATTAGATAAGTCGCGACTGTTTGGAAAGGCTGCACCTAAAGGACCGGGTACAACACCTTAGTAGACCGGTAGCATCTACTTTGGCCAATAAGGAGCTCATGGTTATCACAGACTATGTCAAGGATGTAGTCTGTACCTTCTGCTATGGAGGAGGGGAACTTAATCACAAGATTTCGTTCCTGGTTAGCGACGACTTACCATTTGATATGTTGTTAGGAATGTACTACCTTGAGGTTGCCAAGCCCCTGTTTGACTGGGACAAGAAGGTGCTAAAGCATAAGTTGCCTGATGGAAGGACCGTGAGAGTGGCTAAGTACAAGGCCAGTAGTTTAATAGAAACCTATGGCTGCTTGTGTGCATCAGCGTTCTATAATTACTATAAACAGAACCAAGAGGAGGGTATGTACCTAGTGTATGTCTCTGAGAAAGGGGAGGCCGTTAAAACACCCCCAGAGATAGACCACGTCGTTGCTAAGTTCCCTGATCTGTTCAAGGAGCCCACAGGAATCGTAGATAGGGAGATTGTCCACGTAATAGAAATCATTCCAGGGAGTAAAACTCCAAAGGGAAGGATCTATAGGATGGCTCCGGCCGAGTTGGACGAATTTCGGCGACAACTGAAAGAGCTGACAAAAAAGGGTTGTATACGACCGAGTACTTCCCCCTTTGGATCTCCAGTGTTATTTGTACCGAAGAAGGGGGGAACCTTGAGCATGTGCACTGATTACAGAGGCCTCAATGCCATCACAGTGAAGAACGCAAAGCCTCTACCTCGCATAGACGACCTATCGGATAGGGTGCAGGGATGTAAGTACTACAGCAAGATAGACTTAAAGTCCGACTACCATCAGATTGCTATAAGACCTGAGGATCAACACAAAACTGCATTTCAGACCAGATACGGTTTGTACGAGTTTGTGGTGATGCCTTTTGGCCTTTGCAATGCGCCGGGTACATTCCAGCACACCATGAATAGGATCTTCGATGACTACTTAGATAAGTTTGTCGTCGTGTACCTTGACAATATTCTCATCTTTAGTAAGTCTTTCGAGGAGCATGCACAACACGTAGAGACTGTACTATCACTCCTGCGACAGCACAAGTATAAGGTCAACCTAGAGAAATGTGAGTTTGGACGCACTAGGATCTTGTACTTGGGTCATGAGGTATCCGCGGAAGGAATTAGGCCGGAAGATGCGAAGGTGGCTAGTATCAGGGAGTGGCCACGACCTCAGACTGTTACTGAGGTCAGATCTTTCTTAGGGATGTGCGGCTACTATAGGAACTTTGTGAAGAACTATTCCACTGTTGCCTCTCCTTTGACTGATCTAACTCGACTTGACTCGCCATGGGACTGGAGTGATGAGTGCGAGGCTGCTTTCAAACGATTGAAGCATGCACTCATGAATCATGAGGTTCTCATGGTGCCCGATCCTCAAGAGCCTTTCATTGTGACCACTGACACAAGCCAATACGCCATTGGCGCAGTGCTGGCTTAGCGGGATGGAAAGAAGTTGAGACCGATTGAGTATATGAGCAAAAAGATGCCATCAAAGAAACTGGCAAAGTCCACCTATGAAAGGGAACTCTATGCTCTCTACAA